ACTCCTGATCTGTGCTATGAGGTTCTGGTGCTTATGAGAGAGAGATTTTGACCAAGTAGTTCAAGTAGGTAGCTGCGTCAGCATGCGTAGGCTGCAAAGGAACAAGTAAAGGTTTATTCCATGCTGAAAAGAAAAGAAACTCAGCATTTTGGCTTTGGAGCCAAAGTCAGACTTGCTCTTGATACTTCAGCTTGTTTGGTTTCCATTTCTGAACCCCCTTCTTCAGCTTGAACCACAAATGGTTGATAGGATTGGATATAGCCAGTAATGTTCTTCAAAGAGATCATTAGTATGGCTTAGCTGCAACAGAATGCTGTGTTATCTACATTACTAATTGTGTTGCTCGGCTCTCATGTGAAAATTATCTTCAGCTCCAGGGATACAGCCTCCAGAGGCATCTGTATAATTCCAGAGTATTCCATTGCGCTCTCTAAGAGAAGAATGTGAAGATTTCTTTTTGTTGAATATTTTTTATTGAAATACTTAGAGGTAGAGGTATGGATAGTGCTTGTGCTTCCTCGACTTCAGTTATTTCTGTTAAGTATGACATTGCTCTGTGAAATGCTAATGTGTTACTATTATAGTATCATTTTTTTAGTATTTAAAACTAAGAGACTATTCATTTATTCTTTAACTTGGTTTGTTATATGTCTTCTTTCTGTTTAATCAGGGACATGAATAAATCTGGAAGGCATCGTATATATATATTTAAATGGACACACAAATGCACATTAATATCCAGCATTCCTTGCACATGAAAAATGTTACTGAAATTAAGAAGTGAAGAATCAATACAAACTTATGGGGAAAATGTGTTGACTAACTCGAAAGGAATTCAACAAAGAATGTCTTAATCCTTTCATTTTATTTTAGTGTAAGCTGTTCTCATGAAAATATCACCTGTTTTTGGCAATAACATTCTCTGGGTGGTCAACTTTAGCTGTGTAATTGTAATGTGTTATTGAAACCTAATATCCCAGAGCTTATCCTTGCTGATTACTGTGGCCTCCTTCATTTGTTTCGGTTCTCTCAGCCTTCTTCTACACTATTTCAATGGGGTTATAGTCAGGGGACAGGTTTAATAGTTGCATTAATTTTAAGACTGTTTTTCTTCCTTGGAAATGTATAATCAATATAGCAGGTTATTTAGGGTAATTATAATATTGAAAAACAGATCATTCATTTAAAACTCGCATCCCTTAGGCTTTTGTAGCTTTTGTTTTAGATGGTCCTCCTGTTTAGTTGTTTAGTTCTAATCATTGTTTCATAATCCTATAAATAATAGGCATCAGATTTATCTGTCTAAACAATTTACAGGTAGATGGCTACTGCCCCTGACCTGAGCACCTGTGGGGACATCATATATTAATCATCAGTTAAAATCATCTCTTTTTTTACCTACTGGTGGTTAGAGAAGGGTCAAGCCTGCAAAAACAGGTTTTACTTGCTACCCTACATTGATCAAAAGATGACACCACACAGTTGTCTGTACAGGGCTACAATAAACAGGTGTCCCTTATGAGGTGGGGAAATCTGTTCACCAATGCAAAATCATTGCATGTATAGGCTCGCAAATGAAAATGTTAATATGTCAAAAATGCTGAAAATTATTTATTGTATCCTGTCTTTTACAGTAGGTCTTCCCACTTTAGTGCCAAGGACAAACTTGCTAGACCATGTAATTATTATAGATTGTGATGTCTGAAATTGATTCACTCCTGTGAAAAGTTGTCAGGTAAGGGATTAGTAATGCAAAGCGCAGAGGTGTCTTTGTTCTCTTCATATCCTGTCTCTTAAGTCTGGGTGTTGGCATTTTACTTTTGTTTTGTTCCCGTCATTTCAAAACTACTACCATCTTGGTTTTACAAGTTCTGACACAAATCAGAAATGAGCTGTTGAAAAGATATTATCTGTCTCATACACTAAATATGAATACAGAAACTTCAAAAAAGCTGAAACAAACCTTCACAGTCACGCTAAATTGGCAACTGGTAGTTGTTTAACAGGTCTCACTAGAATTTACTTTCTTGCCATATTGCATAATTTCTGTAATTAAATAGAAATGGGTTCAAAGTTGCACAGGAAAGAAAGACCGATATGTGAATTATACATATATTTCTTAAAGGTACGGTGCCTAACATGATTTTAATTAATCGTGCCTTACAGTACATGGACCTGCAGTCATTTACAGTAAAATGTATTTTAGAAACACAACTTCTTCTTTGGTAATGAACAGAAGTCTCACAGAGAGATCTGAAGAGAGCATTCAGGAAACTCACTATAGTTTTCATATTATAATCAGGTTCCTTGCTAAAGAAAGTCCAAGATCACTTCAGATGCCTTTCAGGAAATACCTGGAAGGCATTCTTATATCGGAAAGGTAATAGCACTCAAATGACATTCTGGATTGAGTGAACTTTTCTAGTTTGTGAATGTTCTTGTGTTCATATTTTCTTGTGCTTTAAAACAGTCTTCTTTCTGTGTGATAATAAGGTTCACAATTAAATCATTTCAAACATTAGTGATCTACCTAAAGTTTGCTGTACTGCTACTGTAAATCTAAATGGCATGAGTGAAAAGGACGTTTTTGGAATACTTCAGCTCATTCTTTGTGCCTTTCAAAAGCAGCTGATACGCTCAAGAGCATGAATTGTCATCTGCTTCTCATTTCTGAATTAAGGATCTTCAATTTATGGTTATTCGATTTGCCAGAATGGGTTGATGTTCACAGAAAGGCCAGGCTTTTGTTTTTAAGAAACATATCTTGCTTGGGGCATTCAGCCTTTATGTTCAAATTTATACCACTGTGCTCCTTGACTGAAGCATATGCTTTTTAAAGCTTACCATGTGGAAAACAATAGCTGATCTGATAAGGCATGACCACTCTACTGCTGACCTAGTTTAATGCAATGAGTTTACAGAAACTGTTTGTTGAAACAAGGGTTTTATTCTTCAGCAGTAATAGACTGTTCAGATGGAATTACCAGAGATAATGGTTGGAGGGAGCCTGAGGGCCTAATCTCTGGTATTTCCCCAAGTTTAAAGATGTAAATGCAATTAAATGTCAAGATGCTTAATGAAAATGTGTATAACATGAACTGTTCTTCTTGTTTCAAGGAAAAGTCTAGATTTTTTTGTTGTACTTAAGATGCAGTAATTCCTTTCACGAGATAATCCGCATAATGTCATATAGTGAAAATATACTGTACTGTATATACAGTAAATGTTCCTTGCTTGGTATGATTGTGTAGAACACTGTTCAAAGAATAAACCAACCAGACAACAAGTAATTGAATCTGGGAATTGGCTAGATACACATTAAGATTTGTAATTCAGATAGGAGAATTTGACATTAAGCAGGAGCTCTGCAGAAGCACTGTTCTCATGTAATATTTTAAAACAGATCCAACGATAAAAATGAAGATACCTTTTTTTAACTGAAAGTTTATTAAAAGTAAACCTTTGTAAATCATGAAACAATGAAACCTTTTACAAAGGTATGCCTTTGTCAGTTTTCTTTGGTTTGCCTCCTTCTTGAAAGATTTCAGGTTTAATGACACAATTATAAGCACTGTGATTATAGGAGTAATTAATATTATATCTATAAAATACTTTATCAGAGATGAGGTCAGGGTGAAGCAAGGGTCAAACATGTTGGTGGTACAAGGTGGTACAGCTCCTGTATGATCATGTGGCAACTGGCACTGACTAACAGGTGAGTAGAGGTGTAGCTGTCATAGTGACACATTATCTCACTCCCCAGCAGTCCAGCAGGGGTGAGCATGACACTTAACATTTTATTTTTCAAATCAGTAAATTCAAATGGTGTAAGTACATTGGGGATGCTGTAGGTGACATTATCTGATTACATTCTGTTCATATGTCATTATGAATATACAGTATATCTTCGTTTACCCATGTCCTCAATGAGTCATTTTACTACTGTATATAAATAAATAAAATAAATCAAGCTTGTGCTTTAGAATACACACAGCAAACATGAATTAATCAATATATCAAACTATAGCAAGATATCAATTAAGATTTCTGTCATAAGCAGGGAAATCTCATCACTATTTAGAGGTAATATCCTTACATGCCTCGCCTTCATATGTTAACCCTTGGATAAAATGCATCATGTTCACAGCCTGGTTTATGTAGAGCATCAGGTAGAAGTTACTGTTTTTACTGACGATGTTATGGGAAGAATGTATTAAATGCAGACAAATGCATTAGCAGTGCCTAATATTTTTTCAAATGAACCAGTTTTATGATTAATTAGAAAAGTGACAATGAGAAGGTGTTTGAAGCACAGCATACTTTAGTGCTGTACAAGAAATGTGTTTTTAATCTGCCTTTTTTACTGTCATTGTGTTATTTAGTTTACCTTTTCCCCCTTTTCTGCTTCAGTCTGCAGTTTGTGATGGAGTTAATAGTCTCCCTTTCTTATCAATCCACCATCCACATCACTGTATACACTCAGGCAGGTTTTTCCTCCCCTGCAGTCAGTGTTTAGCTCTCCACAATCCCTGTTCCACCAGCACTGCAGTGGCATCCTGGTTCACCTTACCTGGGAGGACACCTGCACAGTCAGGTGTGACTCCCTTAGCGAAGCAGGTTAAAACCAAAGACATTGTAATCACGTTTACTGGGTACAGGACTTGTTTGAACCTCAGAACACACAAGAGGGTGCAGCAGAGAGGAGAGAATTAGAACTACTGTATGTATCAGACATGGCTGCTTAAAATAGTAACAGAATGATGTTGCTTCCTCTTTGATGTTATTTTCAACTTCAGAATTTCCTCCCTGCTGATGTTCACCTGTTTTCAATTATCCATCTTGATTCATTCGCCATTTGTGTTTGGAAGTGTCAAAAGGATGGGATGCTTGCTTCTAATCCCTGCTTTGTCACGGCAGCTCGTAATTTTGTCCACTGGTGTCTGAAGGGTGCTCAGAACTTCATCAGCCTCACTAACACATTTTTTCGCCATTTCCTCTAGATGTTTCTCTTTGCATTATCCTTCGCCTATTTTGCCAAGGCATTATCTGGGAGCTACATGAAAAGCACAATAACTCAGCTGGAAAGACGATTTGACATCCCTAGTTACTTAATAGGCGTCATTGATGGAAGCTTTGAAATAGGTGAGTATCGCCTTGTGTGCGTCACTTGTCTTCTCGCCTCAATCATGATTCTATTTCTGTGAGAGTGTCTGTCGATGTCATTTTACAGGTCCTGTCAGCATATAATGCTTTTTAGGGGAAAATGGTTTTAGTCTTCGTCTAATGAGAAAAGCCTTGATGTTCCTTACCCTTTTCTGTAGTTTTTCCCCTGTCTTTTAAAAAAGTGAAACCAAACATTTACTCATAATTTTTTTTCTGTGGAATTTAGGATTAAATATTTGATATTCCACTGTAGTCTAAATACTGTGGAATATTAGAAAATGCTAATATTACACTTAAGCCTCAAGAGCACCCTGAAGGTCAGCCACAGGGAATCATTAAAGAGCTACATTTTACAAGGATATTTTACTAATCTTAGCTTAAACTCTAGAATTTCTAGAACCTTAGTAAAGGGGAAATTTGTTTCACCAGGCAAGACATAAATTATTAAAAGTTTTAAACTGAGTGGCAAACTGATGAATTATGCTGCATTTCTAGTGTTTAAGGACTGTCTGTTGTTGCACCTTATACAGAGACAGAAAATATGAACATCCTTAAGAACTGGTAGGATAGGCAGCTCACGCTTCTATGTGCTTAAAACGCCTCTGTACCAAGCTATTTTCTGGTGACACTGTCATAGTTCATATTTTTGCAAAAGTTTGACACGGCATTATTACTGAGCTTTTCACTCTTAAGATAAACCTCTATGTGTGTCGTTTATGTCACTTGAACTGTGTTCCTCTGTATTACTGATTCCAAGAAACACAAACTAATTTGATTAACAACGATGGAAAGCCAACAACAGATGTTTCACCATGTAATTGTAACTGTGTGTCTTTCTTTGTACTAGACCAATGACATTGACTTTCCATTTTAAAGGGATTCTCCTCTTTGAGAACCTAGGAATCTGACAGGAAACTCTTAATCTGTCTATAGGATGTCTATCTTCCTGTCAGTGAAACTCTACAAATAATTATTCTTTGTAGTCATTGTCTCTACACTTAAATCAGAGCTCAAGCCTTTTTTTTTAGTTGGTATTTTAATACTTGGAAATGTATTTTACATAGTTCAGTTCTTGCTTAAAAGTGTTGCTTACATTTTTCACAAGTGCTACATGATACACACTTAAAACTAGTCTAGTCCAGGAGTTGTTTTCCAGCTGGATGTTATTTTACCTGTGGTTTGCAGTAAATATTTAATCAAGGAAATTAAGTGACTTTATAAGAGGTTTCATCCTGTAAGAGGAAACCAGTATGCAAAAATAAGGAATCCCAAGCGCTCCAGCCTCCTGTCCTGGGATCGTGTTTTTTCATGTAGTAGCTTTATCTGTTGTTTTGGGCTGTAGACAGTGGTTTGAGTCTGAATATAGTGTATGTTCGCGCCCTTCTGCTGCTACAGTTATCTGTAGACATCAGTCTCAGTGATCCAAGTTAGATCTTGATGTGACTAACATGTGCCGTCAGACCCTAGATTTTTGTGAGATCAGACTGTAACAATGATCTTTTGTAAATTAATACTTAACTGTTTGACTGTAGTACATAAAGTAAACCTTTTTGCGATAGTGGGCTTATCAGTGACTTGTGTGGACTGGGCAAGTCACGCACGAAGAAGGTGGTTCCAATCTGAGTTGCAGTTTCACAGGCTAGACTTCATGTTCTCCAGTGCCCTAGTGTACTGTACATCTTACTCTTACTCTTGCTTTTGAGTTGTCAGGCTGTAGGCATACTTTCTACATTTTATGTTGATACATTTCACATTTTAAATTCTCCCACCCCTGATAAATGCACAAGATCCTGCCTTTTCACTTATACTGTAGGTAAACCAGTACACTTCAGCGTTCCACAGCAGGAGAAAGAGAAAACTGTTTTTAAGCCTCACCTTTTCTCACATTCCAGCACAGGTTTTGAGTTCATCCCACTCTGGCTGAAATCCACAACTTAACAGTAGTGCTAAGGTTCAGAGATGTTTTATCAGATGAATGTCCAGTCCTGCACTGTATTATGAATACCAAATTAAATTTGCATAACTCAACATGTCTGAATCCTTGCTGAATTAAATCTTAGATATGGCTTATTTTGTTTCATCTTTGTATTTGTGTTTTTTATAACAGAAATATTTTTGTTTTTTTTCCTTTGCTGTGTTTGAGAAGTGGTGAAAACTACCAAAAAAAGCTTGCACGTATAGCTAGAAATATAATTTTTGTACACTTTGAAATTATCTTAAGAGATCTGTGCTTTTTACAGAAATTATTATATTCTTGTACTGTTGAAGTGTTGAACACCAGTCAGCAACATAAAATTATCGTTGTGATTGGTACAGAATACATCATGTGAATGATTTGCTTTTCCACTCAGTAACCAAAGAAATTGGCTCTTTTATATGGGAATCATATTGGCTGTTTCTTCTTAGGTAATTTGTTGGTGATAGCATTTGTGAGCTATTTCGGTGCGAAGCTTCACAGGCCAAAAATTATTGCAGCCGGTTGTCTCCTGATGTCTTTTGGAACATTTATAATATCCATGCCTCATTTCTTCAGTGGACAGTAAGTAAGACATATATTCATGTCATATATGGTCATGAAAGATGTGAATTAGGTGCTTTGATACAAGAGGAAAAAATGAGATTAGAGATGCATATTACTCATTCCAATCAAATAATGTAGAGATATCTTATGACCTTTGTGTAGTTAGTCTTAAAGTCCTCCATCTTCACAATATAGAATACAAGATACAATACAACCTGTTTTATCCAATGAGTGTGCTGGGAGTCTTTTTAATCCTGCTTGTGAAACCAATACTCAAGGACTCATATATAGTTATATTTTGCTTGAAACATGAATACAATTTTATGGTGAATTTGGTAAACCTTTTCATATGTTTTTCCAACACATTTCAACATCTCTGTGGTCTAAAAGTTATTATAGGACTTTCCAAAAGTATTGACACATCAATATTAAAACTTGACTAAAAAAAAAAGTACAATATAATAAATATAATATAATAAATGTGTGGTTTATGCCTAGGTAATTCTAATATCTTTAATCATATTTGAATAAAACTCCAACAAACAGAAATTGCTTGACTATAAAGAAAATAAGAAATCAATATGGTTATGTCTTGGGTTTCTACCCTATTTACACACATCAGCACCTAGAACTTTATGCAGTCCGTTCTCAGCTTGCTACAGTATGATCCCTTATTTCTTATTTCTGACCGAACAGCTCTTTACTGGTAATCAATTGACGATGAACAGACACAGGATGAAATGGCCCTGTGTTGGACATGCCCACAGCCACATTGGAGTGTTTTTCCTCCTGTTTATATGCAGTTGGTGATTTCAGTTTTCACACCTTAATGAAGACAGCCCTAAAATTTACTAATTTGCAGTGTTTTTCCAATTACAAACCTTATTAGTGCAAAATAGTACACACTACATCAATAGTACAAAAGCACAAAATAAATTGGATATAGCATGGTGTATGTTTGTGATGCTGCTGAAGTAGATGTTTTTCCCCGTGTGGTACTAAATAATGGTATTTTGTATGCAGATATAAATTTGAAACCGCAATTAGGTCTTCGGTGAACTCAACCAGCAGCCCTTCTCCATGTCCAGCAAGATCACTAGAGCCTATGACATCAGGTAACAGTCCTTCAATCAGGTCTAACACAGGTAGGATCACGCCTGAACCTTACACTAAAATGGTTTGAACGCAAATAGACAAGAACCGTGCTAGTCATCTTTTGCCCACAAACATACTCATTCGTTCATGATCAATTTAAAATATACAGTACCAGCACCTCAGGATTCAGAACTGAGTTCTTGTTTGGCTTTGGTACAAATACCCTTTGTAAAATGTATCAGTTGAAAAGTTTGTCTACAGATTGCGTACTCACTTTTGTCTAACAGTGAAAGAGTGATCATAAAGGGTTATGAATGTTGTAATAATGTGTGACAACAACTTATTTGGTTTATTCAAAGTGACTGACAGAGTTTATGATTATCTGTTTTTTTACATACATCTTTTGGCACCAATGGGTTGATTTAGTACAGCAACTGGGGGTAAGGTACCTTGCTCAGTCTCAGTGAAGCAGTAAGTCCACTTAAGCCAGAGCTCTAACCAGTACTCCCACTACTCCACACTGCCACAACTCCACAACACTGCCTCCTTGTGTGTAAGTGTTATTATGCAGGCTATGTAAGGCCTAAAATGCTATACAAAAACTATTATTGCCACCCTAACAAAACATTTCAGGATAAATGAATGGCTAAATGTGTGTAGTTTGTGTAGAAAAATGAGAAATGTCTGTCCTGGGGCTGAAAGCAGTTCCAGAGGATCTATGCTTGATTTCAGCATCCAGTCTTGACTGTTATCTGGTTGGATGAGCCTGTAACATCTACAACATCTATCTTAACCTCTTCCAGCATGATTTCCATTCCTGTTTCCATTCCTGGTTCCATTAATGTTTGATTGATAATAATAGAGAAGCAGGAACATCTTTAAAAATGTCAGATTCAATTTGGCTACAACTAGTATTTATACAATGCCATAGCAGATATTGAGGATACACAGTACCGTTCCGCATATAATGTGTAAAATCAAATAATTTGCAGTCACTGCTTCTTAGGCAGATACTATATAAAAACACATCTATCTTTAATGGTTTATTCTCAGATATTGCTCTTCAGTTATTATTTTAATATGTTGATATTGTATATTTGACAACTCCAAGTAGTACGAGCAATGTTTGATGACCCTGAGTTTGCAATGTTCCTGACTCATGTACATCATCTCCCCGTGGTGCAGGATGTGAAAGAGAAACTGGTATCTCCATGTGGATCTACGTTTTCCTTGGAAATGTTTTACGTGGAATTGGAGAGACTCCCGTGCAGCCTTTAGGAATTTCATATATTGATGATTATGCACGTGCAGAAAATGCTGCTTTCTACATTGGTAATCTATTTGTTATCACTTAAGACAAAATCAGAAAAAGAGAATTAGGAACTAGAGCAATATTCTGTGTGTAGTTACTTTATATTAATTACATGTTCTGCTGAGATTGTTTTGTTTCAATTAGTTTAATTGATTAGGAGCTGGGGTGTTACCTCAGTGTTTTGGCCAATTTCCCCCTAGCCTTTACTAATCATGCTCTCCTCCCCACTGATAGCTGATATGTGATGTGCGTACTGGTATACTGTGGCTGCTGTCGCATCATCCAGGTGGGGCTACACAGTGGTCCAGAAAAGTGCTTTATAAGTTTAAGGATATTATTATTACATTATTTACTTTTTAGCCAAAAAAACATCAATTAAGCTCTATGAAAAGGATATTTGATTAGATACAGTAGCTTTTTAAAATTTTGTGGCAGGGTTTAACTTTTTAATGTTAATGTCTAAATTGAGCTGGAAATGTTAAACCCAAAACAACAACCACTAACCCATTTAAACTTTTGAAAGAAAGTGTCTCCCTCCCCATTCCTCATAAGGCTAACCAAACACCCCCCATCCCCAAGACCTGAAGATGTGATAAATGTGGCTGCTATTGTGTAGTTAAATAGATCGCCTATCTACTGACACTTGCATACACAATGAAAGACAAATATCTTCTAACCTTTAGGAAGTCTTAAACACCACTTTCATATGTCTAACATGTGTTTTGCAATTTGTTGCAGGCTGTGTCCAAGCAGTATCCATTATTGGTCCTGTTTTTGGCTACTTACTAGGATCATTGTGTGCTAGAATATATGTAGACATTGGATTTGTGGATATGGGTGAGTAAACGTAATATAATTTTTCCCTTGTCCTCCCCACTTAACAGCTTTTTCGAAATATTCTATGCTGTTGAAGGGACCTTCTTGCTATTTTTCTGTCGTGTTATATCTGACTTATTGGCATGCAATTTATCAAGTTGGATGGACAGAAGGATGTTAAAATAAGAAAGAACAAAAGCATGCATATTAATTCACCTTGCAACTCTAAGTCACTTCAGAGGCAATATATGAGTTTGACAAAAAAATTGTTGTAATAGTCTCTGTCACTGTGTAATCAAAGTGATTTAGCTTGACTTAAACGAATCAATGCACCTGTCTTTGGAGATTCAAAATTGAACTTTACTGTTTGTAACAACTCGCATTGTGACAGGAAAAAACAACAAGGAAGATTCTGAAACAAGTATGGTACAGAGTGGTACCGAAGAACAAATCAGTAGAAAGTTGAAAGAGAATGTGGAAGTTCCCAATCTTCATACAGAAATGGAATGTGCACCATAAAAAAACTAGATTATACTGCCTTTCCTAACTGAGTTGCCAGACAAGTAGGAAACTGGTTAGAGATGCCTACAGTAGTTTGTATGATTTGCAAAGTTCTGTGTCTTAGTTGGGTGCTTGTGTTTTTTACTTCAACAATATCCCAGACCCTGCAAACATCTGGCCAGTATGGTCAAGTGGCAAGAAAGAAGCAGTTACTGAGAACTAGTGTTTGACAAAGCATATAAATGCAGTAATACTATAGACATGTGGTAGAAAGCTTTGTGGTCAGAGAAGACAAAAAACTAAATCCCAGAGCAAAGGGAAACGTCTTGCTCAAGCCCAGCACAGCACATATTCCAGTCAAGCATAATGATGTTAGCATCCAGGTAGGGACTGAGAAAGTTGTCAGGGTTTAAGGGAAAATAGATTGTGCAAATTATAGCTGAATCCTAGAGGAAAACCAGCACAGAGTCACAGATCCATACTTCAAAACGATAGCCTGCCAAAACACAGAACTGAGGCTCCAGTGAGACTTTTGTTGTGTCAAGAAGACACTGAATGTCCTCGAGTGGCCCAGTCAAAGAATTGACTTGAATCTAACAGAAACTCTGTGGGGAGACTTGAAGAAGTTAGTCCATCAATGATCCCCCCAAAACGTGACTGAACTGGAGCAACACTGACAAGACAAAATTGCAATAATTACACCATCCCACTGCGTAAACCTCTTCAAACTGATCACAGCAGCAAATGCTACCTAAAAGTGCTTCTACCCAGTATTTAGTTACTGGGTTTGATTATTACGCAAATTGTATATTTCATAAAATCAAAGGATTTGATGACAATCAACCTACTTCACTTTTTTTTTGGAACATTGCAATTTTAAATACAAAAATAAGACAATTTAAAAATGGTGTCCATGATCTGTAATTAATAAAAATGTGACATTATTGTTGTTCCTTCTGTAGTTTCATGCATGAATGTGTTTGTTCCACTTCCAGACAGCATCACAATCACCCCTGGAGATGCCCGCTGGGTAGGAGCGTGGTGGCTGGGCTATCTCATCGCAGGTGTGATCACTCTGTTGTCTGCAATACCATTCTGGTTCCTGCCAAAATCTCTGCCCATCCCCGGGACAAGACGGAATTCAAAGTGCTCACCTGAGCAGTCCAGGTTCATCAAGGAATCTCAAATAGAAAACAAATACATAGCAGAAGAGCCTGTCAACTTTTCAGAAATGGCAAAAGGTAATCCCTTTCGACTGATCCTTAACAGCTTTTGTATTAGTTTATCCATGTTAAACATCAGAGATTAAGATGTGTGTTCTTTTCTTTTACATTGCAGCATGCTTTAAACTATGTGTTTTACTTCAAATCTATACGTGTGGGATATACTCACTGTTTAAATCCAAGGCACATACAAAATTATTAATTGAACATGTGCAGTTTAAGATGTTTTTTTTTTATTTCATATGTTACGGTATAATAAGAAGCCAGATTTGTAATTGAATAAGCTTGTCTGAGGCAATGCTTAATAAAACTCCCTTTATCTTTTAGAATTCCTTCCCTCATTGAAAAACCTTCTTGGAAACCCAATTTACTTTTTATACTTGTGTGTAACTGTCATCCAGTTTAACTCCCTGATTGGCATGGTGACGTATAAGCCAAAATATATTGAGCAACATTATGGACAATCTGCCTCAAAAGCCAACTTTTTAATGGGTATGTGTCACTTCCATATGAGCGCTCCGTCTATGACTGCTGTTGTTCTGTTTTTCATTGTAAGACAACATTCACAAGTTGTATAGTATTGTATTGATTAAGAAAAACAATCTACAAAAACATACAGTCTCCATACAGTATTACCTATGTAATGTTTTAAAAATCTTTAATAAACTTAACACCAGCTCTGACTTCAGCTTCACTATTTAAAACATGGCTCTGTGACTTTGCCCCCCTTCCCCTTACAAGTATCACAAACAATGAAATCCACCTGATTTGTTTGCGCTCCATTTGCGCTGTTGAAAGAAGCATTTGTACTGCTTTCGTTTCCAAGATATAGCAACTTCTAATATCGGGGTGTGGTGTTACCCAGCACCCCTACGATGACGACGCGAGTCACCTAACTCTCCGAAAAGAAGGCCCTAGATCTCTGGGACGAAAGCACCTCAGATGCTAATTTCAACAGCACAGACCAGCACAAATGGAGAATGAACTCTGTTGTGGTTGGTTTCATTGTGCTTTTTGGATGGGGGCCAACTTCATAGACCTTGTCTCCATGACACTCTATAATACTACCACATATGAAGTACATTAGGGAAACACTTGGCCAAGTGAAGAATTCAGAGTAATACAATGGAAATGTATTTGTACTAATATTAAACTTGGATATTTACTACATTTTACAAAATGCTTTTTAGTTTAGCGTTTAAGGCATAAAACAGTATTCTAATGTAATGCCTAGTCTATCACTGGTTATACAAATGCCATAATATACAGTCTTTATTCTAACGCCTTATTGTTCCATTGTAATACAGTATATGGTTTGACTGAATTTATCAAAGAACGATACAGTCTCAATCTTTGTGATCCACCATTATTTGTGGTGATGAACCCTACAGTGATCCTGGACTCTCTTGCATGTCAGACGTCTTGTCTGTGTATAAGAGATGCGTTACTTGGAACATATTCCAATTCCAGGAGTCATCAACATCCCTGCTGTCGCACTGGGGATATTCTCAGGTGGCGTGATTATGAAGAAGTTCAAGCTGAGTGTGATGGGAGCAGCGAAAGTTGCACTGGGGACATCTCTGCTGGGCTATGTGTTGTCTCTCTTTTTCTTCTCCATGGGATGTGAGAATTCTAGGGTGGCGGGACTGACAGTGGCTTACAACGGGTACGTCTTTTTAAAATGTATTTTTCACCACACAACTCAAAAATACACATGAGATATTTATATCCTATGATCCAAATAATAAAAAGTATTCACTCAAGCAGACTGCATGGATGTACAGTATTGGTATAATTAAACATGCTCTGTGTATTTTTTTGTGTAATAAGAGAAATATTATTACAAAAAAGGGAGGTTGTGCATTATCCCTGTATTTTATGTGTAGTGTTAGGGCATATCCATCCATCCAAAAGCCCCTTTATTCCTGGTAAGAAGTCACAGCATCCCAGAGCCAGTCCCACAAGGACAGGGTGCAAGGCAGAATTATATCCTGCAGAGGATGCTAGGGGCTTTTGTTATTATTCTCAAAGGCATGGGTAAAGTCAAGCAAGTGAACTACTTCTGTATCAAAAGTGAAACGCAAGCCAGAGGTCACACGGTCTATCAGTGGGAGAGCATTTAAATCGGAGAACAAGGGGCACCAAGTTTGTGAAGTTTATTCATTTCAAGAAGCATTGTGATGAGAGACTTTAATCGATATGTTGATAGAAAGTTTTTTATAATACTATATTTTTTATAAACTTCATGTGGTGTATGTAATAGGCCTCACAGTGTAAAATGAGGCTTATTATGGTCAATACAAAGGCCTCTTCAGATGGCATTCTGAACGTCCATACTGGATGTTATGGTACTTGTGATATGTGATGTGCTCCCCCTGTGGTCTGTGTGGGTCCTGATGCCCCAGTATAGTAACGGGGACACTATACTGTAAAAAGGCGCCGTCCTTCACATGGTATGTAAAACTGAGGTCTTGAATCTCTGTGGTTGTTAAAATTCCCAGGGCTTTTCTCGGAAAGAGAAAGGGTGTTACCCCGGCATTCTGGCCAAATTTCCTATTGGCCTTTACCAATAATGGCCTCCTAATAATCCTCATCTGTGAATTGGCTTCATCACTCTGTTCTCCCCACTGATAGCTGGTGTGTGGGGAGTGGACTGGCACACTATGGCTGCCATCGCATCATCCAGGTGGGTACTGCACATTGGTGGTGGTGGAGGGGAGTCTCCATTACCTGTAAAGAGCTTTGATTGGAGTGTCCAGAAAAGTACTATGTACTGTATGTGTAAGGACACCAAACACCATTGTTACATCTGCACTAAAATTCCAGCTTGGTGAGGGCTGACGCTTTGAACTATTGACTGATGATATTGCCTTATCTGTCATGTAAAAAACAAAATGGGACAAAGACCAACAGTAATACATTAACTCTACAGAGTTAGTAGTAGGATTGTTGGTCAGTCTGAAGCTGGTTTCATGACTAAATTCTTCATACTGTAGGGCATTATATAGTACGGCCTTCCTAAAGCTAATTTAGTTAGTTCAGCAGTATCTACCTTTTCCATCTAATTTGCTGTGAGTCTACTGCACCTCACCCTAGGGGCTGGTGTACTTGTTAGATGAAATGGGTCTCCTCCTGTATGCTAAGCACTTTGAGGTCCTTTGGGTTCTCTTTCATTCGTAAGGTTTAAATGCTTTAATACAATGGTCGTGCACCACTGGGCTTGAATCCATTTTCTACTTTATATGCAACATGGATATAGTTTGGTATGTATTCGTTACAGCTTCCACATGTCATAAAAACGACACTTAATCATTTTTTTCTTTTCTTTCTTCATGTACATACGAAGTGTTCAGCAAGTTTCTCACCACGAGAGGTCATTGTTCGCAGACTGCAATTCTGGTTGCCTTTGCTCAGGGAAGGAGTGGGATCCAGTTTGTGGTGCAAATGGAGTAACCTACATTTCTCCTTGTCTGGCTGGCTGCAGAGTTTCAAGTGGATCTGGGAAAAATACGGTAAGAAAATCTAGCATGAAAGATCGCTTGTCTGTATCTGAGGATACGATAGAATCTGCTGGATCCAGCTACTTCTCTCACATCATTGAAAATAACCATAAAAATCCTAGATACCTTTTCTCCACCATCAACAGACTGCTGAAGCCAAACTGCCCCACCACATTACCTGCCTCATCCCAACTTCGCCACACTTTTTTAGAGATTGAAAACATCGGGCATCACATTCTGTCCACAATGCCTGTCGCCTCCACAGCTCCTCCCTGCTTGCCTAGCTTAGCTTTACTTGTTCCCTTCTTTCTTCTTGACTCTGCATCCATCAGTAAACGGGTCTTGCATATGAATTCCACCATTTGCCTATTAGAGCCCATTCCTTCCACTTTATTTCAGCCCTGTTTTCACTTCTCTTTGCTCCATTGTCCTCAGTATAATAAATGAATCCTTGAGCAATGGTGTCAACAAACGGTCCTTAAAATTGCACTCTTACCCCTGTGCCAAGAAAACAAACATGCCTTTAGACAATCTAAAAATGTTTCTCCCCATTTCCAATTTGCCCTTTCTTTCACAAATTTTGGAATGTGCCGTTACAGTTAGAATCATCTCCTTGGAAATAACCTCTTCGAACTCCTCGAATCTGGTTTCCAGCACAGCGCAGAAATTTCCCTTATTAAAGTCACTATCTTCTAATGGCTTCTTGTTGTCTTTCTGTCCTTATTCTTCTTGATCTCAGTGCTGCTTTTGTCACTGATAACCATGATATCTTACTTTCTCATCTTGAGACTGTATTTAGAGTTTCTGACACTGCTCTTAAACGGTTCAAGTCATACCTAACTGATCGCTTTCACATTGGCTGTCTTGGCATATATAGCTCTGAAATTTGACTTTTTAAGTCTGGTGTTCCTCAGAACCTGATACTAGGTCCCCTGGTTCACGTTCCCATTTGGTCAACTTTTAAGATCACATGGCCTAAATGATCATTTCTATACTGTTGATGCTCAAATCTATGTCAATACCAAACCTGTTGTGGCTGTCTCTGTTCTATCTAATTGCATCTCTGACATAAAAACATAGATGATTCAAAACTTCCATCATCTAAACTGTGAAAAGCCTGAAGTCATGCTATCGGAACCCCCCTTCAGCTTTGTAAAGCTAATGCAGTAACCCTATCTATGGATGGCACTGTACTTGAGCTTCTGTCTAAATGGAAAAATGTGGGGGTAATATTTGAGTCGAGCTTGACGTTTGACACATACAGTTGCAAGAAAAAAGTTGTGAAACCTTTGTAATTACCTGGATTTCTGCATTAACTACTCAGAAAAAAATGTGGTCTTCAACTAAGTCACAATAATAGACAAACACAATCTGCTTAAACTAATAACACACAAACAATTGTACTTCTTCTTGTCGCATCGTTTAAACATTCACAGTCTAGGTTGGGAAGAGTATGTGAACCTCTAGCCTTATGACTTTTCCAAAAGCTAATTGGAGGCAGGTGTTTCAATCAATGAGATGAGATTGGAGGTGTGGGGTGGAGGTGCCATGCCCTGTAAAAAAGGCACACAAAGGTTGGTTACTGACAGAGTCTGCTCTTCTCAAGAAAGAACTATTCATGTGAACCATGCCCTGATCAAATGAAATATCAGAGGACCTTAGAAGAAGAATTGTAGAGATGCATAAAGCTGGAAAAGGCTACAAAAGCATTTCTGAAGGCCTGGGTGTTCATCAATCCAAAGTAAGACGAATTATCTACAAATGGAGGAAATTCAGCACTCTTACTACTCTCCCTAGGAGTGAGCATCCTGCAAAGATCTCACCAAGAGCGCAGTGTGCAGTGCCAAAGGAGGTGAAAAAGAACCCTAGGGTAACAGCAAAGAACCTGCAGAAATCTCCCGAACTTGCCAAAGTCTCTGTTCATGTGTCCTTCTATAAGAAAAACACTGAACAAGAATGGTGTTAATGGAAGGACACCACGGAGGAAACCACTGCTCTCCGACTTTTGAATTAACAATAAAACAATTATCTTTAAAGATTAGAAACAATAAGGTGTCATGCATCTGAGTCACATTCTTGAGAACAACATTTCCATACCCTTTAATGAACTTGTTGAGAAATATGGTATTAGAAAAGAACAATATCTCAACTAGCATCAGTTAAAATCAGTCATTAAGTCTAGAATTAATATAACACACAGCAATTTACAGCCATCTTGGTTAATAGAAGAAATCCTCATTACTGTTGAGTTTTGATTCAACAATATACCTCCCAATAACAAAGTGGGGAAAAAGATTTAGCACTCAGTCCTGACACTGAGTTCTGGGCACAAATGTGCAAGAATACCTTCTCAATGTACTAATAATATTAACATACACCATATTCAATATGATTGTGATTCATAGAGTGCATTTTACTCAACATAAGATGTATAAAATGAATTAAATGGGCTTAATAAATTCAGATACATGTGCACACTGTAAATTGGATACTCCAGATAATTACTTTCATTCTATTTGGCTCTGTCCAACAATACACATTTTTGGCAAGCAGTTATCAATAGAATGTCCCTTTTCATGAGTTGCAGCATTCCACTATCTCCCTCTCTATGTTTACTTGGAGATCTCTCAGTATTTGATCCACCAATTCAAAAGCCACGGATAATCCTTATTGCTTTCACTATGGCAAAAAAAAGTCATTTTTTTTTAGCTGGAAGTCTAGAAATACAGTTAGTGTCACACAATGATTAAATCTCACGGATCACATGTCAATGGAGAAAGTGTCAGCCTCCATTAAAAACCAAACTACACATTTTGAAGAAACTCAGGGCCCGTTTATTGGCAGTTTTAATATTCAGTTCACGCTTCCATATACATAGTTGTCATAACATACATAATATGTACACGTTTACAATCCGTGAATAACAGATTATCAACATGTGACTTTTGCTTTTGCAGGAGCCGATATCACTCGTTCCCCCCTGTCATTCTCACCCGGAATGACTACTGTTGTAATATTTTTCCTGTTTGAGTAATGAGTGTACTATACCAGTTCTCACCATAATATCTCCCTCTTATACTTTTACTTACTTCTCTCCTGTCAAGTCTTTTCTTGTTATTTCTTTTTATTATGACATATCCTACGTCCTAAAACAGAAAGAAAAAGCCACAGGGTACAGCTTTCTGGCTGGTTCAGGACACAGCTGTCAGCTCCACAGGAGAAGCCACAGTACGATTATGAGTGGGACTGCTGTTCAGAAATGTGATGCAGACTGTTGCTTTAACTAAATCATACATGTTGATTTGAGCCTCAGACTGGTGGAAATATCTTAACTGAGGAACGAGTTCGGCTGGCCTCTCGCCGAGCGGCTCCGCTAGCATGTTGAATCCAGGTCACCTGAGTGTCTCTCCGGGGGTGCAGAGGACAGGACCGGGACATGTACATGTGCAGCTGGAGTGTCTCTCCGGGGGTGCAGAGGACAGGGCAGGCACATGTACATGTGCAGCTGGAGTGTCTCTCCGGATGTGCAGAGGACAGGGCCGGGACATGGACATGTGCAGCTGGAGTGTCTCTCCGGGGCTGCAGAGGACAGGGCCGGGACATGGACATGTGCAGCTGGA